CCCCCAGTATGATGGACGGCTAATCAAGATGTAGAGTCCCGTCCTTATATAAGAATATGGAAACTCATTGTCGACTGATGACTTTGGAATGGTTTCCATGATCCGAAACTTTCGTCTTGCCTTCCGAGCCAAGTCGCGTCAGGATTATTATTTCTTTAGAGAACTAATCGTTCCCACAGACGGCGCCAGCTGTTGATGCTAAAATCCTCGCGACTCGGAACGATGGCCTTTACCTGCAAAACAAAGGGACGTCACCTCGAATGGCACCAGTGGGGTGCCAGCCGAGGACCCTTCAACGATCAAGTTAGTACTTGTAATCGTATCACATAATAATTATGTATATTCTGTTTAGGGGTTTTTTCTTGTACCTTCTTTAATGGCTTGGTGCCCTATTTATAGCTGTCGATTGGAATCAAATTGGTCTCGTAGGAGATCCATTTGTGCGAGATCAGAGGAAATCATTTGTTGCCAGATTTGTCGGGGATATGATTTACTCCTTTAACTTTCTCAAATTATGCCAAGGTTATCCTTACCCTGTTGAACCACGTCATCTTTCATTATCCTGGATAAGAAATGTCATCATTCTTATTCGATGGAAATCTTTATCTTTGATAACAAAATATTATCGTTTAAGAGTCGAAGAGGTCTGATGGCTGGTCAAGGTAGGTTAGGTTTATTTTTCCCTATAAAAAATCAAGTATCACTTCATTAGAGATTTGGTTAAAGATGGAGAAATTGTCATCAAACGTTGCAAAACCGAAGATCAGATTGCAGACATTTTTACAAAAGCATTGAAGTTAAAAAGTTTTATCAAATTGAAGAAGAAACTTGGAGTTGCACAAATCTAGCTTAATTAAGGGGGGATGTTCGAAGATTAATCTAGACTTGTCTAGATTCATCTAAAAAGACCAAGTGATACTTGGGAAAGTAGAATGACTATTATAATAATTGCTAGTGCATGGAACATTTTGGCTCATATGAAATAGTATGATTCATTAATTGTATGTATTAAATTCATATACTAGAAGTATCCCTGGAGTAGTATAAATAGGTGAGTCATATAAGTGTATGATAGACACACAAATAATTGAGCAATACAAGATATAAGAATTCAGTTCTATAGAAGTGGCTGTTTCTGAATTATGTGTTTACTAATTTAGTTGAATATATGTGAGTGTATCACATTTGTGTTCACTTGCCCACCAAACTCCAACAAATTTTGTATATGTAATATGAATTCTATCCAAATTAACCCATTATAAATGGATCTGTTCCAAATTTTTTAACTTGGGACAGATGTCATTGTTTTATATATTGAACCACATCACTAGAAACAGCCACTTCTATAGAACTGAATTCTTATATCTTGTATTGCTCAATTATTTGTGTGTCTATCATACACTTATATGACTCACCTATTTATACTACTCCAGGGATATAATTTGAGTTAATTGAATATCAGAATGGACAGTCAAAATGGTCACAAAAGCATGGCGGTGGATGTGGAGAAAAAAACACCGTTAATCATTATAAAATATATTTTGTAATTTGAGTTAATTGAATATCAAATTAATGCAAGGCCATGCTTTTACAAAATATATTCAATTAACTCAAATTACAAAATATATTTTATAGTGATTAACGGTGTTTTTTTCTCCACATCCACCGCCATGCTTTTGTGACCATTTTGACTGTCCATTCTGATCATACCTAATTTGGATAGAGTCGATAACTATTCCGAAGCATATTATTAACTATTTCACTCCACTATACTTGCCATCATCCCATGCATCTCCGCTTTGGCTACCGAATGGCTCAGTTAAAATTGTTTTCGGTGTGAAATGTGCACCAATCGCATGATTCACATCAAGATGAGAACCAGATCTTCCATGGGGTCCAATAATTTCTTTGACAACATCTGTTGTCGGAACTGTGAAATAGTTCCCAATTTCAGTGCCAAATGGTCCATATGTTCATTTATTGCTGTGAATTGTGAGTGATTGGAGTCCAACAAATGCATGTTCCAAACTATAGTAGCCCGAGATTGAAAAAAAGAATTTCATCAAGAAAGTCAAAATTAACCTACAAGAGTTCTATTCAAAAATATTAAGAATGATGTATACACCATTTTTATAGACATGTTGTAGATAACCACTCTACGTCAGAGGTCACCTGTCATTTTTATATCATTAATGCAAGGCCATATTTGCATACTGTAAAGAACTTGTACCGTACACCAGAGTACTATCTTTTTGACCTCACAAGGGAAGCCCCACTCCAGTCGAATGGGCTTCTTTCTACGAGCCTACACAGTCTAAGAGGAGGGGGTCGATACCCTTCACTCTCTTATTGTCATGGAAGTACCCTGCTCCAGTTAAATGGGTATCGCTATGCATTATCTCTAAAACATCCTCCCTACGAATAGGGCTTATATCTGGATCATCTATACTATTCATATCGACCTCCCCCCTGCATAGGAGCTCGAAGCTATCGCTATGCACTATCTCTGAAGCCTCCTTCCTATGGATAAGGCTTATAGCTGGATCATTTATACTATTCACATCGAGCTCCCCCCTGTATAGGAGCTTGAGGCTATCGTTATGCACTATCTCTGAAGCCTCCTTCCTATGGATAGGCCAGGCTTATATCCAGATCAAGTTATATTGTTCACCTCGAGCTCCCCTTGCATAGGAGCTCGAGAGCTTCAAACTTAACTAGCTATTCATCTCGAGTTCCCCCTACATAGAAGCTCGAGAGCTTAAAACTTAACTATTCATCTCAAGCTCCCCCTGAATAGAAGCTCGTGGCTTAAAGGAAGTAAGAAAGCTCGGGACCAAAGAAGACAAGTCCCAAGCAATTTCCCTATCTCTTCTTACTTTGCGGGAATTTGAGAATCAGTGGTTAAGTGGCTGAGTTCCAAGGAATCGCCTCACCTCGAGGTCTACATAAGGGGGAGAGAATGTTTAATACCCAATAGCTGAGCTTAAGTAATAGAGACCACATAATACATTAAATATACCATTGATGGACTGATAAGACCTGCATTGAACACAGACCATCATCACCGCCTCGAAGAGGGCAACAGTGTGCCTCGGACCGTCGGCTAGATGTCCCATATGTCAAAGGTCAGGTAAAGTGACCATTGGATAAAGATAGACCTAGCCCTTATGACCAAGGGTCCTTACTTAGTAGGGTGACCATTAAATAAAAAGGGAGCTAGCCTTCGTGACCAAGGGTCTTTACCTGGCAGAGTGACAATTGGATAAAAAAAGGGCTAACCCTCATGACTAAAGGTCCTTACCTAAATGAAAGTAGTATAAATAGGACTAAGCTCATATCATTGAGAGGGGTTGGAATACAGATACACCACCACAACTATAACCATAAATAATGGTCTTCTAAGACTCGAGCTACCATTGGTGCATGTTAAGCAAATCTGTCGTTTCTCTCTTAATCTCCTCCATGGAGAATCCTTTGTGCTAGTTTGGAGCTCCACTCAGCCTTTGATCTCTGCATCTTCGACAGACGTGGAACGATCTCCTCACATCATCACGAACCATCATCAACACGTGTTATTCATTTTTTTTTTTTTTTTTTTGTGAGAAAAATAATGTTGTGCTATTGAAATTTGACTACATATTTTGAGTAGTGCATTGGAATAAAATATAGAAAGTCAAGTTTTAAAAACCATTTTAGAGGGATTTAATCTCGCGTTACTTTACCCAAATTTACTCAAGTAAATTACCGGTTAATTAACAATCATGCTGCAAAATAATAAAACAAGTAAAATTAAAATGACACCGAATTTTAGCGAGGAAACGAATTAGAAAACCTTGAGGTTTTTTGCACTATTCCGAGCGTAAAATGATCTACTGTGTTTGAAGAAAAGTTCACCAAACTTTGACTCAGGCTCACACCCCTTCACTCTACCAAGACTCAATTTGCTGAACGACCCTGGCTTTGTGACTTTCCATCCAACAACTCTCGACTTCAGACTTACTCCTTGAACCTTGTAGAAAGATTGTTGGTACACCAACAACACTCCGCAAGTGCCTTGTCCCCTTCAAAGTGTGATCGGAAAATCTTCTTTTTCAAATTTTAATTTGTTGTTGAATGAATGAATCTACGTTCTCTGATTGATATTGATGCAATCTTCAAAGCTTGAACTTCGATCAGGTTTTGAACAACACCCTAATTCACTTGTGTGTGTATAGTGTGTATGCTCTCAAAAAAATCTCACATAATAGGCTCTCAATGAAAATCAAAATTTTGATGTAAAAAGCCGTAAAATCCTAAGTTAGAAAATATGTTTTATAGACTTTAAAAACCCTAATTGTACTTGGAAAACAAGTCAATTTTGTGCATAACTATTAAGGTAAAAGTCTATGCAAAATTGGAAGTCAAAACAGAGTATGAAACAAAGTTACCAAAAACATGCAGAGCTTGAACTGGTTCAAGTTGGCTAGATTGAATAGAAGGTTTTTACACTTAGAGAAATTTTGCAACGCTAGAGTTCTGAAAGCATGCAATTCATGCAAGTGTACCTTCAATTCCGCTTCCAATCTAAAATCTTGAAATTGAACTGAAAAGATTATAACTCGATCAGACTTGTTTTGACAAGAAATTCGTCAATTACAAAATTTATATCTCACACATATTACTGTGAAGGATTTTCTCTCATGTGTGTGTGTTTTATTTAAGAGAGAATTAAGAACTAATTGTGTGTGTGTGTGTGTGTGTAAAATGCGAATATATATCAAACAGAAGATAATGGACTAACTGTGTGCTGATTTCCACCAGTACTTTCTCCGTGCTTCATGGACCATACTGACTGTCCATTCTTCTCATACTCGATTTGTATCGAATCAACGACTACTCCAGCACATATGTTAAGTTGAGGCCATTTCACAAAATTAAAATTTCTATATTTATAAATTAAACACAGATTTGATATATGCTCAATCAGCTCAAATTTGAAACATAAATTTTAAGGGACTAACCGTCTTCTCCCCTCCGCCTTTACCACCATGCTTTTTGGATAATTTTGACTGTCCATTCTGATCATACTCAATTTGGATGGAGTTGATTACTATACCGGAGCGTATAATTAATTGCCTTATGCCGGTGTAAATTTCGTCATCCCATGGCTTTCCTCCTTGGCCTCCAAAGGGACCGACAGTAACATGCTTCTTCTTCATGGTATCCTTTAAGCTTTGGCCTGTAAAAAAAGTTTCAACGAGATTTTATCCACAAAAAAAAAAAAAAAAAAAAAAAAAAAAGTTTGCACAAGAAAGCTATAAATATATATGTGTGCGTGTGTAATATATATATATATATATTGGATAGGTATCTAACGTATACATAATGCATGTGAAAGAAAGATACCTTTCAAAAAAAAAAAAATGCATGTGAAAGAAGAAAAAAGTATACAATACTTTAAGGTATTTAATATGTGGTATAAACCTCTAAACGGACCATACCACATGTAAGTAATATTGTATACTTTCCTGTGGAAGAAGAGCTCATTATCCTGCGTGATCTTCTCTTGCACTATTATACTCTTATATATATTTTTTCCATATACACAAAAATTGAATCCTTAACCCTATCTTCGTTTTAAATTCAATTTTTGTGTTTCTATGATAAAATTTCCCGTTCATACATGTAGCATCTTGATACTTTTAACCATTAACATGTACACACTAATCTTGCTGTACTGATAATTATGGCATTATAAATATGTAGAATACATATGTATGGAAGCTAGAACTTCATTCATATGGAATTAAGATAATAACGATGATGATGACATGCATGGACAAGCTCATTATCAACACAAAAGTAAGATAACACCCCTAATATGATCGAATTTAGTTTAATAATATCTAAAAGAAGTTAATTTGGCATTGCTGTGTAAATGCTCTAGCTTCCACAAATTTCTAGATGAAGACTATTAAAATAGCATAGGTGATTTAACTAATATATTTTATAATAACCTATTTGATAATCAAGAAAAATAAAATAAAATGGAAACGCAAAAGAAAAATAAGCTATTTAAGAGGGAAAAAGAAAAAAAAGAAACCTTGGTTGAAGCCGATGCCCAATGAAGGTTATGAGGGTCGTTTATGGTAGCAGTGGAAGAAAGGAAATGAGGGAAGCAAATTAAGCAAACATTAACAAGAAAAGAAGGAAAAGTTGTGTATGTAACCAAGGGGAAGGTGGGCAGGGTATATATAACCATTCGGATGGCAATTTGTAATTTTATTTTTCATTTTTCTTAATCTTTTCGTCGTGGATATTAAGCATCATAATCCCTCATGCCATTTTTTTTTTCCTTACTAATGGCCTTGCTAGAACCCCTTCCCTCTTATTTTGTGTGTGTGTGTATATATATATATATTGACAAGAATATTATGAGTTAGTGAAAAGGGGGAGGGTGTAAGATTCGAACACAGGCTTCCAAATACGGAGAGCAAGCCAATTACTTGGGTAACATAACACTTGCCTCTTATTTGAGAATAGAAAAATTATACTATTCAACTAATTACCAATTGTTGAAGTCAATATGTTTGATGAATGCCTCAACTAATTTTTGTAAATTTATAGTTTGAAAAAAAAAAAAAAAAAGTTTCCGTCAAAGGAGGTATGGATATCCTCAAAATTTCAGGTCTCTATTATTTTTACTATAATTTTTTATTTACTAATTCATCGTGCCATTTGTTTTTTTTTTTTTTTTTTTTTTTTTTTTTTTTTTTTTCAACTTTAATGCTGATTCCTTTTATTTCTTTTTATTTCCTTTTTTCTTTTTTTTGTCTTTTCTTCTTCTTGTTTTGTTTTTGGTGGTTAGAGTGAGAAAATTTCGTTTTGCAAATGAATGGACCCCTTGGCGATGATGTAATGTATTTTGAGCATTACAAGGAGATTGACATTTATCAATATTCTCTTAAAAAGTTAATAGGCCAAATTCTATGTATTAAGATCTAAATCTGAATCATTAGTAAGCATAGTTGTATTGTTTTCAAACACATAGTAAATACTCTATATAGTTAAATTTCAATTAAGTAGTTAAAAATGATTTTTTTTTTCTTTTTTCTTTTTAACTATTTACCTATTGTTTGCTGTCACTTTTTTTTTTTTTTTTCTTTTTCTTTTTTCCTTCATATATTTATTAAAAATGAAATAATTCATTTATACTTGGTTGACCTGACAGGATAATAGTAAATTTATCAATAGATATTTGTTATCGAATAATGTAATAATTATTGATATAAAAGTTTAAAGTGGAAAGCTTATATCCGTTAGAATGGTTAAAAAATCCGATCCATCTAGAGCATTACTCTAGTATATGATAAAATAATCAATCCTTGCGTGTAGTTGAACTTTGAGGTCGTTGTCATGGTGAACGGACATTAACATTGCTTTTTGGGACAAAGATTCTTTACTTCCTAATCAAAAAAATAAAAAAATAAAAAAATAAAAAAGAAAAAGAAAAAAGAAAAGACAAAACAAAACAAAACAAAGATGCTCACTTGCATAAATGCCGTGTGCCTCGATGAAAATGACTTGTCAGAGTAGCGTGTGAAATAAATCTCAATCATTTATCGTACTTGTGTACGGTAGATGATCTTAACTCGTACTTGTGTAGGGTAGATGATCTTGACTCGTACTTGTTGATCATTATACAATAAAAGTATCAATTCGATGATCTTGACTCGTACTTGTTGATCATTATACAATAAAAGTATCAATTCTTGAGCGTAATTTAGCGTTAGATTTTTTTATTTCTTATTATTTTTTTCAAAGATTAAATAAGCAAGTACCCATTATATATTTTTATTCGGATAAATGCAAGAACCACTCTTAAAATATATCTTTTATTGTATTTTTATTTAAAAATATTTGCAAAAAATACCCTTTTTCTTTTCAATTTGTGCAAAAACACCGCTTAATTAATATAATGTCCTTTTTATCTTTTTACTCTTTCAAACAAGTCCCTACCAAACTATTTTTATTTTTTATTTTTTTGGTTAAAAAATAAGACCACACCGATCTTGTTGTCCCGATCATCAGACTAGAAATCAAGCTTATATATATATATATATATATATATATATATATATATATAGATAGGGTATTTGAAATCTCTTCCATTCATTAAAGAGCTCATATATATATATATATATATATATATATATATACTCAGTATATATGTTTGTGTGGATCAGGAATGTTACGATTATTACAATCTCTTCCATTAAGGCATTAATCAAGGTTGGTAGGTATTTCCTTCCAAATCTGAAATCTCCTACTTTATGTGTGTTTTTTAGTGAGAGAAATGGCAATAATGACATATAAAAATTAAAAAAAAAATTTAAGCAACCCTTCACAAAGTGATCCAAAAAAAAAGAGAGAAGATCAATAAATTTGGAAGAGACAAATCCCATGAAAATCTTGAACAGATCCACCGCCCCAGCCATCATCCCCGCCGTCAGATATGGTGCGTTCGGCGCAAACGCCACCAACACCAATCTGTTCGCCCCTTACGCCGTTCGCTTGCCTCACCATCACCAAAACCCAAACAACTCCACCAGCGAGGATGAAGACGGCAGCCGCGACGAGCTCGGCTGATCGACGGCGGCTCAGATGGGTCTGAACGGCAAGCAAGGTGGTTCTCAAAAGGCGACGTCTCCGTCTTTATCTCCTCTACTCCCCGGCGTCGTCGACATCAACCTCTCAGTCCCTCCCGGCGACGTGATATATATGTCTGTGTATATATGTGTATATAGATTTATGTGTATATATAAATAAAGGTTCGCTTTACACTTCTATTATATCGATATAACGCGTGTAACCCCCTAATTGCTTGTTTACCTCCCTTATACTTAGTGCCTTCCAATTGCTTGTTTACCTTTCTTATACTTTAAAAATGGTGTGGATTAGTGCCTTTTGGACGTTGACCTCTATTGACAGTTATAAAAAGACTAAAATAACCTTCTATTTATGATTTAAAAATAATAATAAAATAACATAAAATGAAAAAAAGATTAAAATAGCCCTCTATCAATACGCGGTCGTTTCAAGTTAGGGCATATTCACAGTTTACAGACTTGCACTCTCTCTTTCTCTCTATAGAGTAAAGATGAACTAACAATTCTAATGGTAGTTTCTGAAAGTTATCTCCATTTCTTTTGGTTATCTCAATCAGTATCACCTCCCTTCAAGTTGAGACAACATCCATCTCGGGAAATTCACACCTCATACCATCTTATATCCAACTTTGTTAGATTTTGGTGCTGTTGTAGTCTACAGAAAGTCACCGTAACACCGGAACCAGAGGGTGCAGAAGTTGCGATTGGAGATGGAATGTGATTTCTTGATTTAGGGGGAGAAATTGTTGGACGAAGCCAAAAGGTGAGTACAGAGTATATACATCGTCTCTGAATATGTGTTTTTAATCGGTACCCATTTCATCATTGCCTCTTATTTGAGTGATACAGTGATGGGTTTTGTTTGTTGATCTTGTTTTAATGATTTTGGAAAATTTCTCAGAAGCTTTGAATATGTGTTTTTAATCAATACCCATTTCATCATTGCTTCTGATTTTGTTTGTTGAACTTGATTTAATGATTTTGGAATCACTCATAAGCTTTGAATATGTGTTTTTAATCAATACCCATTTCATCACTGCTTCTGATTTGAGAGATACAGTGATTGGTTTTTATTTTTGATCTTGTTTTGATGATTTAGGAATCATTATGTGAAGAAACAAATGAGATCAAGAAATCGTGAGAGAGCAACCCAGTGATATCGAATCAGATTGCTCTCTGCAACCTATCCTCTTCGATGTTGATATTTGTATGACCATTATTAGGGTTGACAATAGTGAATTTGCTGGTGAGATGAGGGAAGGAGAGAGTGATTAGGGTTATATATACAAATATATATATATATATATATATATATATATATATATATATATGGTGAAAGGTAGTAAAGCAATATAAGAAGGGCAATTTTGGGATAAAGGGTTTAAAATGGTCATGTGCATGGCACATGACCAATTGACGTCGAATTCTCACCGGAATTCTCACCAGAGGTGCTTAATTGCACATTTTTATATCTAGTATGGATTTATATAAACAAATCTAACTAAAATGGTGTAATTCGCACAAATTGAAAAGGGGTGTTTTTCAGACTTTCCCCATAAAAATAAATATAGTTCTGTATATTTATATCTCTATATATGTGTATATATATCTGTATATATATGTCTCTGTATATATGTGTACAAGAAGCTAGGGTCAAGCCCTTTTTAGTCATTTCATAAAATATATATATTTTTATATATATTATAAAATATGTTACTGAAGGTATTTTAGTCCAATTTTTATAAATAGGTCCTATTTGCTCAAATGTCATAGTATAGGGGTATTTTTTGCACGGGAGGGGTGCAATATGCACTATAATCATACTATTGGGATGTTTTTTTTGCACTTGACCCTATTTTTATTCCGCTAGAGTTTGAACACTCAATATTCCAAAGGAGAAAGGTAACTAATAAGGCCAAAAGTTTATTTGAAAATATTTGGAATAATATCACTTATCTTCTTTGAAATTATACCTAATTACAAATAGTATCCCTACTGTTTCAAAAATTATAGTTACTTCCCTCAAATGTGATGGACGTTAAGTTTTATTAGAAATATATTTGAAAATACTAATATACCCTTCTATTATTATATTAATATAAGAACTTATCAAATTATATTACTAAAGGACACTTTTAACCCCCTTTATTATGATGTAGCCTTTCACAGTAGTACTACTTATATACGAGTGCATAGATATATAATACGTAGTGTATATATATATATATATATATATATATATATATATATATATATAAAGTAAAAATAGTATATACAAGATAGAATATATGATATATACACATATATACTGTTCTATTGCGTCCTTTTCTCTCGATTTAAGGTCGACGAACTCGCCGACCAGCCAACAAGAATCATTGGTGACATGATTCGAGCCCTAACGTGGTTTGTCAATTTCTCCATAATCAAAGTACTGGAAATCATTCAAGCCGAACCGATCCAAACCCTAATATCCTCCATCACCTCGCTTTCCTCCTCAGCAGCTCCTCACGAATTTGCAACAACCCATTCCGCCACCATCACCATCTTCTCTGCCCAAACCCTCGAGCCCAAATCCACCATATCCGCCTTCTTCGACATTGCCACCTCCACTTTCTTCCGCTCCGATGGCCTCCACCTAGCCATCGGATCCCTCTCTGGCCTCGTCCAGGTATTCAATATTAAGAACCCCCATCCCTTTCCGTCAAATTCGAGACCATTCTCGCCCCGTCCACCTCTTCTACTACCCCTGCCTCAATAATCTTCACCTCTTCTCCGGCGACAATGATTCTGTTGTCAAATATGGGACGTCGTGTCCCAAACCCAGATCAATGAACTTCTAGGGCACAAAAAACTTTTGTAACTCCTCTCTCTAGCAACCAATTAACTCCGTTTCTCCAACTAAATCTAATCCGAAGGCGCAATTTGCAGAGGAGCAATGGTCGACGACAATCCATAGAATCCATGAAAAAGAAGGGAGGCGAGATATGGAGATGAGTTCTTTGACCTCAATGAAGAAGAAGATGGGAAATTAGGGTTTCAATGGAAGGAGTAAAAAAGTGGTGGAGACGTTGCTGATTGTGTTGGATAGTGGTGGTGGCGCCCTTGGTGCTTGTAAGGTGAGAATGGTGGCGGTGGTGGTTGTCGCCACTGGCGGTTAGCTGTGATACTATAGATATAGAGAAGCATAAATAAATACTATGTGTGTGTATATATATATATATTGTCTTTATGTTGAGGGTAAATAGATAATTTTAAATCAAAGGCTGAGGGCGAAAATGTCTTTGCCTTGTTTATAAGGGCAAATGTGGTAATTCATGCAGAAAAGAGGCTGACATCAGCAAAAGATGTCTTTGACTACTAACGGTAAGGGCAAACTGTTATGACTGAGCTAACTTGGAGGGAGATTGCTGTAATTTTTAAAACGTTAGGGATACTGCCTGTAATTAGGCCTAACTTCAAGAAAGGTACATGATATTATCCGGAAAACATACATTTTGATAAATTGCAGCAGAATTATTTAATTTTTGGGGGAATGGACTTGATGTGGAGGGCAGAGATGGGGAGGTGGGGAATGAGGAGGAGGGATTGAGAGTGGGGTAACCGTCGGAGCATATGGAGTCCCATGATTTGGTATTTGGGATTTCCTTTTTCTTTTTTCATTATTATTATGAGGTCATAGTAAAAAATATATATTTCCATGTTATTTATTAAGTGCATATAAATCTTTAATATTTAAAAATACGTGCAAATTGTCCTTGTTAATTTAGACCAGCTTTATTAAAACTCCAAAATACCCTTAATAATTAGTGTTTTATGAAATAAGTATTTTTTATTTTTATTTTGTCTTAAGAATATTTTAGATATTTCAATCTTTAAATTGACGAAATATCATTATTTCCTCAATTTTAAAAAAGTAAACTATAATGACTTTACCTGAGGTTTAATCTAATTACAAGTAAACTA